CCTCACTTCCCAGCTCAGGGTGAAGGGACCTGGGAGACTGTGCTCTAGGTCCTCACTTCCCAGCTCAGGGTGAAGGGACCTGGGAGACTGTGCTCCGGGCCCTCACCTCCCATGTGAGCCTTCGGAGTGTGTGGCACAGTGGTGACCACAATCAGACACTCTGGATCCAAGCCAAGGGTCAAGTCCAGCTCCAGCCAGCCCAGCAGGGTAACCCTGCACCCTGCTGACAGGAACATACAGGCGGGTCATGCCCAATCACCCACTTCCCTCCAGAGGTGCATGTTAGCTGCATTTCTCTTAATACCAACGTGTCTGAACCTGACTTAATAAAATACTTCGTATGTGGAGACACCCAATTTGTGCATGCAAGACACTGTGCGGATGTGTATATAGCAGAAACCACTGTCAGCAGACCCCTCTGGGGACTCCTAGCACTAGGACGAGATGCTGCGAGGGCCATCCCCTGCCACCCACAGGCTCCCCCACCTGAGGAGAAGCAAACTCATCTTCCCCCAGGGTCCACTTCCTCCCCAGCAGGGGCAGTACCCTGGGGCTGACTGTGGCCAAGCAGTACCAAAGAAGGGCCTCTCAGGGACTGAGCCCCTACCGTCCATCCTCCCCACAACTCCTAGAGCTTCTATTCTTGCTATTGCTTAATTTCTAATACAGCCAGCCTGATAAGACTTTATTGAAATAGGTTATTATTCCTGTCACCAAATAAACCTAGCTAAAGAAGAGTTTTTCGGGCTGGGGTTGTAGCTCGGTGGTAGAGCTCTTGCCTCGCCTGAATGAGGCACTGGGTTCGATCCTCAGCACCACATAAAAACAAATAAATAAAATATAGACGTTGGTCCATCTGCAAATAAAAATTAAAAAAAAAAAAAGAAGTGTCTTCACTTTTACATAAAGTCCCCTCTTTTATTTTTGCAGGGTTTTGTGCATTTTTTTTGTTTTGTTTTTGGTACTGGGGATTGAACCCAGGGTGCTCTACTACTGAGCCATACCCCCAGCCCTTTATTAAGTTTTATTCTGAGACAGGGTCTCACTACGCTGCTGACGCTGGCCTCAAACGTGTGATCTCCTGCCTCAGCCTCCCAAGTTGCTGGGGATACAGGTGTGTGCCACTGCTCCCAGCAAGTCCCATTTTGGGGGACCCTCATCTTTACTTTCTGTATTTTCCTAATTTATATCAAACTCAAGAAAAACGAAAATTGAGAAACAAAACATAGTAGAATGAACCCATGTCCACTGCCCAGCACCCTCTGACCACTTTGCATGTTTGCCCACTTATTCTCTGAAACATAACCCTTTATCATTCAGCACCCTTTTACAAAGAGGCACTGACCAAAGCCATTTCCCCTAAAATCACACTAATCCTGAGGCCCAGTGGAAAGGGAGGCACAGTGACAGGCACACACGAGCTACGTACGGATTCCCCATGAGAACCTCAGGAGCACAGTACTCGATCGTTCCACAGAAGGTGTAAAACAATTTGCCCCTTTCCAAGTAGGCGGCCGAGCCAAAGTCAATCAACTTGATAGTGAAGTCCTCCGCGATCACAATGTTCTCATCCTTGATATCTCGATGCACGATGCCCTTTGAGCGCAGGTAACCCACCGCTGACACCAGCTGGAATTAGGCAGAGGCATTTATTGTTAAAATAAATGCTTACAAGAGAGGCTGGGGTTGTGGCTCAGTGGTAGCATGCTTGCCTAGCATGTGTGAGGCACTGGGTTCGATTCTCAGCACCACATACAAATAAAATAAAGGTCCATCAACAACTAAGAAAAATACCACCAACAAAACTCGTTTGCCAGTGCATCATGCTGGGGGCTGGAGACCGGATCTGGTCCCCGTGGGAGGCACAGAAACCAGCTCAGCAGGAAGAGACGTCAAGAACACACGGAGGGCAAACAACTGTATAGACTGGTGTCCAACAGGAAGTGCCCACAAGCAGCTCACGGGGCAGGAGAGCCACTTGCCCAGGGTCCAGTCAGCAGGGGGTGATTGAGAAGGTACAGATGCTCCTGCCCAGGGCTCTGAGAGATCTTCAAAGAGCAGCAAGGCACACCCACAAGGATTCCCCACGGGGGCAGGACTCTGACCATCTGGAACGAGGGGTTCCACTGGAAACAAGCTCCTCTCCAAAACTCAGAGACCCACCTACCTGGCCCCCTCTGCACCTCCAACGGCAGAGGCCCCACCTCTCCTGCCTCTCCATGGATTCCAAGAAGACACACAGTGGGTCTGACTGCATCACAGTGTGAGTAGCTGGACCAATCAACTCAACAATCCCAGAGTGCAGTCAATCATTTCAAAATCAATCAGAAGCAAAGTAATGGCAGGACCACTAAGCCCACTAAGTAACTTACATTTAATAAACAAATATATATATATACATAAATAGTACATACCTACATACCTACACACACACATTCACATGCACAATACATGCACATGTGTTCACACCTGCACATAAATAAGTGCATGTGCATTCATATGTAGACAGAAACCAAACAGACATGCATATATGCACTGAGTGGGGAGGAGAAGCCAACCTCCTGCCGCTCTCCCATGCCTTGCACATAAGGGCTGCTCGCAGGACTGGACAACAATTCAAAGGCTTTGGCTCCCACTGCACCCCAGGCAGCCAGGGAACAACACCTTCTACCTCCCAAGGCAGAGTCCTGCCCCTCCCACCACTCTGCTGATCACTCCCTACCCACTAAAATGACAAGTGGACAGGGACAAATGCACACTTCAGTACAGAACAGAGGAAGGCAATGAGTGAAAGTAACACACCAGGATCTCACCTGCGCTCGCGAGGGAGCCAGGAACTAACCCCATGGGCGTACGCCCCCCAGGACACGCTAGGACCTACAGCCCTGTCCTGTTGGTGACACAGTGACACCACCAGTGACACAGTGACACCACATGCTAGGACTAACAGCCCTGTCCTGTAGGTGACACGGTGACTCCACCTGTGCTCCTGGGACATCTAGGACTCACAGCCCTGTCCTGTAGGTGACACGGTGACTCCA